GACATGTTTGGACACAAAATAATTACTCTCATATGCTTTGACACTTCAACAGTTCCATTCGCACTTTTACCTTATCAACAACCAATTCTCCTTTCAACTCTTTTTCCTCGGACGACTTCGCCTCCCTCTTCCTCCCAGCCATCTCTCCAGACGCTCTACTCTACAATATCTATTCTCCGCTTCCAGTCATCATGGGGAGATGTAGACACTTCCCAAATAAGTTATCGCATTGGAACCAATCATGATGCTCAACATTTCGCATTGACGGATGAAGCTGCTTTTCATCGATTTTGGGGTGCCCTCATAAGCCAATCGCAAAGGGAGAATGAAGGGAAAGAGGAAGGAGAAGGAAGCAATCCGAGTGCGGGGATAGACATAGAGGCAGAAGAAAGTTCAAACGAACAGGATGAAGTACAATTGATAGTTTACAGAAAACGGCATACCGAAGGTGTGTGGGCACTATTTTTAATCTTCCATTTAAGGATTAGATTTGTAATTTGCATAAATAAGGAGGGGAGATTTCCGTTAGAAATGCAATGCAGAGTGAGACGTTATGTGGTATACGCAGGGTGTTTACACCGAGCCAATTGATTAATTTTTACCTATTTATATGTTTCTTACTGATTATGTAATACAGTAAACTAACCCATTGTTCTCCTCTGTCTATTTTTTTAGTTGTTACCCAACCTCATCATACAGAGTCATTGTATTCATCTCCAAAGACTCCAAGAGTGCAATTTGACAGGATGGTTGGTTAGTATCTTTGAGAGACAAATTTGGGAGGGAAGAAGCGAAAAATAGAAAATCGGTGAAACATTCAATGAAAATATTCAAAATATCCAATGATTTCTTTTTTTAACCAATCCATAGAAGACGTCCCAATTCTGAGATCGATCACGGTAAAGTCCCGTACAAAGACGTACAAACAAAAAGTTGCTGTGACCGATACGACAACCTTTGCTTCCGTGATTTCATTTGCAATCAACGCAGCGCCTCCACATGGAAAACAATTTGTCATTTTTGCTGCTGATGGTTCACTCGAATATATACCAACCGACTTGGTGAGAGACGTAATCGTTGACGTTGAGCATGCCGAAGTTTTGGTTTCTTTGGAAAACGCTAGAGACGTTGATTTCGACGAATTTTAGTTTATACGAGAATGAGAATCAAAGAGAGAAGAAAAGAGAGAATTAATTTAATGAATTTCGAGAAATTAGAGTAAATTTATGCGAGTCGCATAATGAAGCACATATTTAATTTTATAATCGTCAAGGGGTCTTTGATGTCCAGCTTTTCTCGTATTCATTCAGAACATTATATTTTACGGACTATTTTCCTATACTATATTTTATTACTTGTGTTTATTTGTAATATAGGTTTCTTTAACTCGAACGATTTGTCAATAGACGCTAAGGTTCTTTTATGTTTATCCTATTAGTATAATTATTTACGTTTGTTAAATCTAAAAAAAAAACAACAACCAACCCCCCCCTCTAATGTAAATACATACTTTTGCCGGTTTATATACTATGCTCGACTCTGTATATCTTTTATCTATATGTTCTCTCTTTTGTATTACGCTTTGTTTACTTTATTTTCTTTTCGCTATCTTTTTATTGTTACTGTAAATACCCAATCGACAAATTTATTTAGTTTAGCGCAATTCCCGTTTGATTGCTAAACATAACATATAAATCAAACAAAATAAGAATCCCTGGAGATTAATTAATTAGCCATCATAATAAGATACGATTAAACCTGTTGGTCAACTTCTCTGCAGATTTTCTTGGGCATGGTTTGAAATAAGTTTAATTAATTGTCGGTCATTTCCGCTTTGAAAATCTGTTGTATTCTATATTAGATATGTCTTAAACCTTTGCTTAGTGTTCTCCTTTAGGCGTAGGCAAACTAAATACTAATTATATTCGATGTAAAACAAATAGGAAAGATCAACAAGAAAAATTTTAATTACTAAGCATTCGCAGCCTTAAACATTGCCTTTAGTTGGGTGAGGCTTTTTTTTTTGTAGAGATTATCGTTTATTAATTATCGCATCAAAGAAAATATGACCTATCTCATCGGCCAATGCCGTCAATTAGGCTTGAATAAGAAGAGAGGGGCGTTACCAAGACTTCGTGATGCTCAGCAATTTGTTATTGGCTAATACTATGGTTTGTATGAGAGCAGTCTTGGCGACGTATTTGGAATTGAATCAATGATTTATTGCTAGGTCGTTCGATTATATAATGCATAATAACAGGGGTTCTTCTTGCTCGTAAAGTTCATTCTTCCCGATCCAAACTGTCGTTACGAAAGACTGCATACTGATCGATCACCTTTGACGTCTGTAGCTCTTGTTTTAGTTAATAATGTTATTGCGGCGTCGATTGTACGATTCGACGCATCACCAAAAGTATATAAAAGCAAAAGTCATCAAGTGTAAATAAGACAAATTAAATAATGTATTATTATAAACTCTTTACAAAGACATGCTACGGATTCTCGGAGTAAACATTGTCCATTGGCATTGTCAATACCTATTGAGAAAGAATGTATATATTGATGATGACAAACGTATAATGTGTCAATCCGCCCATTTTCTGGGTTTCAGCCTATACTTACAAGCCCTCAAACTTCTAGATCGTCATCACCATCTCGACTGCTTCTTAGTCTTTTCATATCACTCATGATGCCATAAACAAACTTTCTCTTTTTCCTGCGCCCGTTTTTATTTGGCGTCTTGTAGTCTTCGGTAGCCGACGACGATTCATCTTTCAACTGCAGCGATTGTTCATATGTCGCACTTTAGATATCGAAATAAAAATATATTAGATAAAATGGTTCATCATTCTGCTATTTCAATATCGTTCGTTATAAATAATATATACCTAGACAGCGAAAATAACCTATCAGCATCATGAACAGACAGCTTCTTTCTCTTTTCTAGAGAATTATTACTCTTTAAATAGTTATCAAATCCATGTATCAAGTTTCCGCCATGATGAATTGTCTCTGATAAATAAGCCCCCTCAAAGTTATAGATATCTCGTTCAAGACGAGCCTACAAGTCATAGATGGAAAACTGGAACTTGAGTACAGAACCAGACGTGAAGAGTGACGGGAAAGTCCCAAATTGACAATACTTGCTAGTTGTAAATTCGCTTCTTTCTTCTTCTTATTCAGATCGTCTAACTCTCGCTTCAGTTCCTCGTATCTTTTATAGGTAAATGTCTGCTGTAGAAGGACAAGAACTATTAAACCATAATGCAATTTACATAGCGCTACAGTGTCTTTCCACTTTCCAAGACAACAGGTAGTAGCATTAGCGGGATTACTCACTGGCGTCTCGTCTTTTTTCGAAGCGTCAGGCATTACTGTTCATTAAACAGGAATCGGAATTGTGTGACATTAGAGTGAAGGAAGACGCTGACCTGTCACACTAAAATTTAATTTGTTCTCTGTGCCACATAACAGGAAGGCTGGAAAAATTGGAATGTAAATGTAAATGCCCCGTTCCCCACATGAAGTCGGGCGCTGGGCTTTTGAAGACGCAGTATAGCAGTAATAGTAACAGTACCCGTGTAGTAACAATGCTTTTTGTGTTTTATTGTCTTTTTAACAATTTGTACATTTATATGCTTCGCTCACGTTTACAACAAATTGCTTACGTTATATAGCTTGGCGGATAAAAATATACAACATGTTATCAGCCTTGTTAACTCTGATAAGCATCAATTGTTAAATAAAGACGACCCCAGGCCGCTAATAAGTAAGCTTACGGGCTCCGGACGATACAACACCCCATTAATGTTTACAATAGTAAGACAGAGAGCTTCCAACGATTATTCTATTTCTAATTTTAATTTATTTTAGTACTATGATTTCCGAAATAAAATTCCATTGTAATGAACAAATTATACTTTTGTTCAAGAAATAGTAATAATGGAGCGAACAAGAATTTGTGCAAATTGCTAGTATTATCCGCTTTTTTATTTTTGTTGTTGTGAGAATAGACAAGGGATTGTTGGTTCCACCATGGTTGTAGACAGTACAGTGCGAAGAGGCCAGAAGGCGATATAATTTAATATGGACACGAACGTTATTTAGGCCGAATTTTATAATGATGTGTTTACGGAACATAATATAACGAGAAGGGTTTGGATTTTTCTATTCTTCAACAGAATGTTAGACATTCGGTTTCTTCTCAGCTGACAATAATTATTTTGATACAGATAATGGACATAGTTTTTGTTGCTTCATGATTCTGACATTATCGACCAAGGGACAGTTGTTCCAAAGCCCGCCATTAAACTCGTCAAGTAGAGCTTTACTTAAGCCGGTAACTTAATGACCATGTTAATATTAATTCCTATTTTGATAGATGTCTGTACTGTTCCGCATTGTACTGCCGGAACATTTTATACTATAGTCAACTCTCTTTATAAGGACCTTTTTTGTGCGGACCCGATGCCTTATAACGACCACCTGTGCTTTGCCAGCCACATCGTAAATACTCTACAGTATTTTCTTAATATACTACGCTGCATGTAAGGACCCGCTGTTATAATGACCGATTTTGCTTTGCCTGAGATAGTTCTTATAAAGAGAGTTGACTGTACACGGTCGGTCAAATAAAATAAAATAAAATAAAATAAAATACAAGGACAAGGACAAAGACAAAGACAAATACAAATACAAAGATAAAGACAAAGACAAGACGGTCTCACATCGTTATTAGAAAGAAGTCGGAACTACTTTTAATCGTATTAATAAAGTCGGACAATCGGTCTCAACGCATTCCGTTTAACAGATTTCTTTTCTATTTGACTTTTTGGTGATTTGTCGATCTTATATAAATTCAGTCATCAGCTGACTCGCAATATCTGCACTTCATACATTCTCAATCGTAACAGGCAATTAAAGAATGTATTCAGTTTTACGTTCTGGACAAATGTTAAATAGATGCAACTGCGTGATGTTTGACGGGTTTGATGCAATTTTTCTCTATTTTTCCTAAGAACTTTCGCAATCCATCCCTACTTGATTATTAATTATACCACCGGAAATATTTAGGAAATCATCATGCTTGATATTACGTAAGAAAGATTTATAATGCAATTGGGAAAAAACAATCATGCCATGGAAATCCTGCATATTAAATGTTTGATTTACAATCGTCACAATGAAAAGCAGGGAAATCAACGATGTAACATCTCGCAACAGAATAATTACTGCCATTAAGAAGAATGGGAATTCTCTGAATATATTTAAACAGAGAGAAATAAACGCCAGGTGATGTTGATGATGTAAGCCAATCTCAGAAACAATGGAATTTATGCGAAATTTGTCTACCGGCATAAAAACTGTACCACATTGTTCGGCGTACATACAATGATGTCATGTGGCCACATGTCTTACAAATAGTGCTCCTTTTGCACAAAAGTAATGCAATGGAAGCAGCACATATTACTTGCATCATTGAAGTTACTAACATTGTTCTTATTAAAAGGGGACTGCTTAGCGCAGTGTTGCATAGTGGACGGTCAGTTGCTCAATAATCGACGTCGGGCTTCCATCCGTAAGTCCTAAATGACAACATAAACATTTCTTAGTTTATCCGGACATTGAGAGGTGAGCCATTTATGGATTGACCCATTTTGAGACGTTATGACTCACCTTTCTCATTTATATCGTTTTCCTTAGCGAGTAAGTCTGCGTGCGCGCGGATTAGCATAATCATGGGCACAACAATCAACTTTTTTATAAAGGCCAGCTTGGATTCTCATTTCTTACAACCAGCGTTTAATACTTATTGGTTAAATAATAAAATCAAATGCACGATGCTGCGAGTTATAGACTTATGAATAATTGGCCCTTGAATGTTTGACCAAAGTTGGAGAAATAAAGTGCCATTATTAGGGCTTTGTGCCACAATGACTCATTGTTAATATTAAGCTCCTTTTTTGTGCAATACAAAATAGCGTTACTTTTGCTTAAATAGCATTTGTCATGAAGATCGCTTCGAATTCGGAAGTAACACCAACTAAAATCGCCTGGCGAAAGCACTAACATTATAATTAAGTATACGTAAGACAGAAGGCATTCTACCCATATTTCTAGTATGGACACCCGATTTGGAAGCGTTGCCATCACAAACCGGAAATAATTTAAAACTGCGGTCTACAATATGTCGGTATTAATTCTACGCTGGGATCTTAATTCGATTGGATCAAAGCTCATGCTTGTTCTGCAAAAATAACGAAAATTTGGAAAATCTTATATCAAAGTATGATAAAGTTTTTTCTCTATTAAAGATTTAATTCACGCATATTTAATATCACAACCAACTCGTTTTAAAAAGACTATCATTGCGTACATAGTATTTGTGGACAAGAGAGATTCCCAAAAACCGTCAAATTTCAAAGTAAGATGGATACTTTAAATTGTAAGATGGCACTGTAGTTTGTCACGACCATTTATCTTCAAATGTTCCAATTTATTTGTAGAACGAATTCTGTGTTGCTTCTCGCACGACGGGACTCTATTTACTTCTACACATTTATAATTTAAGGAACTATCGTTTATCAAACGTATCTGTAAGGAAAATGATTACTATGTTTCCGTTTGTGACAAGATTGTTACTATAGAATTTACTTATCACATTTCTGAACAACGCATTATTGTATAAACAGTTCATACCCAGATGTGATTGATTGATTATGAGCGACTCAATGTATATAACGACATAATAAACATAATTAAACAGTCTCAATCATACACATTCTTGTATTAACCATTTTATTAGAGAGTCATATTCGGTCGACAAGCGGGTAAATCTTCCCGACGCAATAAACCTGAAGGGAAAGAGAAACTATCACTTTTCTTCTTTGGCCGTTATCAGGCCCGAGGCCTTAATTCAGTTGAATATCTTGGATAGAAAGTAAAGTGCATGAACGCAATATCATTTCAAAACATTGAGTATAATGGTTAAAAGTTTGAGATCTGATTGACGGTTCGATTGACCGATACTTTTGATTCTGCATATAAACCCGAAACGTATATAGCCTTGGACTCTCAAGTATCATTTCGCAAAAACTTTTCTCCATAACAAGCTCTCAACTGCATGAAAAGACTGTTCGATTGAGTGGATCTTGTAAGTACAGTCAACCCTCTCTAAATGCAATGCATCGCCGATTTGCATTTACAGAGTACAATGCTTAATAATCTTATAAGCTCGGGACCGAACCAGAGCTTGCATTTAGAGAGGAAAAATATAGTGCTTGCACTTAGAGGGGTTGTATTTGGAGAGGAAAATTATAGTGCTTGCACTTAGAGGGGTTGTAGGAGAGGAAAATTGCAGTGCTTGCACTTAGAGGGGGTAGAGAGTGTACTGTACAACAAAAGGAAATGTATATTGCGAAATGAAAACAGAGACCAAGCCTTTTTTTCCCATAAGGTTTTAAGGTTAGACGGCAATCTTTTGATGATATTTTTGATGTGAGCTTGTGCGGGATCGACAATCTATCCCTTTGGTATTTTCATCGCGGTTACTCCGTAGTAGTACCACCACCGAGTAGCATATAACATGGGTGATTCTACCCCTCGCTCTCCTCATTCTTCTAAAGAACACAAAGCGCACCTTCCTGACGATAGAAATTATCGCGTTCTATTTATTATCTTTCCTCTTTGTGCTCTACTGATTAGCCTATTTATAATGACTACGTCTTCCCAAAGACAAGTGTTGCCTAGTTCTGTGAGACCTACTCATTATGATATTACGCTTACACCGGACTTGGAAAAATTTGTATTCACCGGCAGCGAAGCTATCGAGTAAGTCAAGTCACATAGAAATATCCACCGAATAGTAGGATCTTGATGAAAAAGTATGATTTATATGGTTAACGATTGATCATTGTAAAACAGCATCGTATTCAACGATGATGTGAGGCAAATAGTTCTCAATGTTTTTGAAGTCGAAGTGACAGCGGCCAAATTACAGAATCTGTCTTTGAAAACGATCCAGAAGTAATTACAAATTCTATAAAAAATCATATTGTGGTTTCGCGCTTGTACTTGTCCCTACATCTACTGATCCTGTCTCTACAGTATTGACGCCGTTCAAATTGAACACAACGAGAAGAGACAAACTGTAACTTTGACGTTTCCTCAAGAACTAGCGAAAAACACCAAAGGAGTGCTGAAGCTGCAATTTAATGGAACCCTCAATGATAAGATGTGTGGCTTCTATCGCAGTGTATTTGTTGATAAACAAGGAAACAAAAAGTACGTCCCTAATCTTGGGTTAATGTGTGTGTGTATATAGCATGGTCTATAAGATCACAGATTAATACAAACCTTCGCGCATCAGATACATGGCTACTACTCAGTTTGAACCAACGGACGCTCGTCGAGCCTTTCCTTGTTGGGATGAGCCTGCGATTAAAGCTACATTCGATATTACGCTGATTGTACCATCGAATCTTACTGCGTTGTCCAATATGAATGTGATCTCCGAGAAACAACTCGAACATGCGAAGAAAGAAGTGAAATTTGCCAAGACACCAATCATGAGTACTTATGTACGAACGGGGTCTTTCATTATACATAGTAGTTTGCATAAGATGGTCACTCTTTAACGGACTTTGCCTTTATACTTGACTAGTTGGTTGCCTTCGTTGTCGGTGACTTGGCCTATGTTGAAGCGGAGACATCTGGGGAACACAATGGAAACCCGGTTCTTATCAGAGTCTACACAAACAAAGGATTGGAGAAACAGGGAGAATTTGCTTTGAGCGTAGCCGTACAGGCACTCGAGTATTTTGCTCAACGTACATACAAGTCTACAAAATCTTTTCTTTTCTCGAGTCTGAAAATTCGACTCTAACAACAAGTTTTTGTGATTTTAGTGTTTGCCATCCCGTATCCATTGCCGAAACTGGATATGGTTGCTATACCAGATTTTGAAGCCGGTCAGTATAACACATGTAGCAATCGGGAAATATCATATTGCGTAAACATAACCTTTCTCGCCTATTATATACATAGGTGCTATGGAAAATTGGGGTCTCGTGACTTATCGTACTGCCGCTATTCTATTTGATCCTCAGGCGTCAGATGCCAAGTTCAAGCAACGTATTGCCTATACAGTATCTCATGAACTAGCTCATCAGGTAGGTGTTTGCTATTGAGATGTAATGTTATATCAATATAATTAAGATATCTTACACGTCTTATTGGCAACTAGTGGTTTGGAAACCTTGTCACCATGGAATGGTATTTATTATTAATAATAGAATATATGCACGCCGGCTTATACCTATTTACATTCCATGTTTATGCCATATTGTATTTTTGCAATGTACAAAAAGGTGGGACCATCTATGGCTGAACGAGGGTTTTGCTACATGGGTTGGATATCTTTCTGTCGCAAAGATTTTCCCCGAATGGGATATTTGGACCGAGTGAGTATAAATTTTCCTGGTAAAACTCCTAAATAAATACGTATTCAATAATATTAACGTATTCACAATTTTAGATTCCTAACCGAGGGTGTTCAACGTGGTCTTTCCCTTGATGCGTTGCGTTCTTCTCATCCGATCGAAGTACCAGTTAGCAATCCGAGGCAAGTGGCTGTTTATTTCATTCTGATACTCTTGCACATTTCCGTACCAATGTCTCGAATCAACTAATGAACCGGTGTCGATATTACAGTGAAATTCACCAAATATTTGATGCCATCAGCTATTACAAAGGAGCCTCAGTGATAAGAATGTTGAGCTCCTATTTGACTGAAAAAGTGTTCTTGACGGGAATTCAGAAATATTTGAAACAACACATGTATGGTAATGCTAGCACTGGTGATTTATGGAAAGCACTATCATTACAGAGCGGAATAGATGTTGAGAAATTCATGTCTATATGGACACGGGAAGTCGGTGTGAGTAAATTGATGAATTATAACTAGAATACTAACGACAATTCGTGAGGGAAAAAAACACAGTTCAACTGACCGGTCTGTATGTACCATCGAATCGAATTAGCACCCAGTTGTTAACGTAACCGAATCGTCGCCCGATAAAATCCACGTTCGTCAATCGCGCTTCCTTTCGACTGGTGATACCAAAGAATCAGAAGACACCAATATCTGGTGGGTACCGTTAGGCATTACAACAGGTCCAAACACGCCAGAAGAAATCAGCTCCGCTAAACTCGCCACCAGAGAAGCTTCAATTACCCTTCCACCAAATACTGATTTCTTCAAGCTTAACGTGCATCAGACTGGTGTATTCCGCGTCAACTATACACCCGACCGTTTGACAAAGTTAGGAAAGGCTGTCAGAGAAGGTGGATTGCTCGATACTAGCGATCGTATCGGAATTGTTGCTGATGCTGCAGCCTTGGCGCGTAGTGGATATGCTAAGACAAGCAGCTTTTTGAGTCTAGTGAACGAATTTGAAAACGAAGAGAAATATATGTAAGTGGTATTTGATGTAGTGTCTGCTACAGGTGTATCTCATGAAATGTACTGAAATTGGTCAACTTATGTATTCAAGGGTCTGGGCAGAGATAACTAAGAATCTGGCGGATATATGTAATGTATGGTTTGAACAACCAGAAAACGTGTACCAGGCTTTACAGAACATCCAACGACAACTAGTCTCCAAACTAGTTACTCGCCTTGGTTGGGATTATCTCGAGGGAGAAAGCCACCAAACCAGTATGTTACGAACGCTTGTCATTAAGGTTGCTGGTAATGCCGGAGATCCAGAGTAAGGACTTCTATATGACAAATAAATGTAACATAGTCAGTCGTGTACTTGTCTTCAAATCTTAACCCGCTTATACATATCTCTCATTTAGTGTTGTCAAAGAAGCCCATCGTCGCTTCCAACTTTTAACCGAACACAAGAATGAGTCTGCTCTTCATCCCAATATTCGCGGTACAGCTTTTGAAATCGTTCTTACACATGGCGGTGGGACGAAAGAGTTTGACGCGATATTGCAAATATATAAAGAGGCAAAGACGGAGGATCAGAAAGTTGTTGCTTTGATTGCGCTCGGGTCTGCTCAACAAGCAGATTTGATACAGCGTGCACTGGAATTTAGTATTTCTGATCAAGTTAGGAGTCAGGATATTCATCATGCCTTCCTTGGGTATGTAAAAAGACAACGAGATGGGGAGGGTTTTGTTTGTTTACGAGGATATATGAGCCTTTACGATAATGAAATGGAATTTATTTATATAGTTACCAGTCCAATCGCAAGGCTCGAAGACCTCTGTGGGCATTCATTAAAGCAAACTGGAATAAGGTAGCTATCGAGATGTGAATTGCATCTAGTTTTTCTTTCACTATTGGTATTCGCCGATTTTTACCATCAGTTGATACAAGCTTGCTGGTAAACTTTTCGAGATTGTGTCGTTACCTTTGTCTTTTATACTCACTCTTTCCTCTCTTCCTCCTACAAAAGTTTTACGAGCGCTACTCCAAGTCTATGACTTTATTCGGCAATATAGTCAGGTTCGGTACACAAAACTTTGCGTCAGAGGCCGATATCGCCGACATTGAAAACTTTTTCAAAGGCAAAGACACAAAGGACATCACCAGACCACTCCAGCAAAGTATCGAGAAGATACGATCCAATGCTGCCTGGTTGGAACGGGATGCCAAGGATGTTAAAGACTGGCTAGGTAGTAATGGTTATCTTGTTGTGTAATTTTATACTACTTATAATCGTATAGATATAGCTTGTAAGTATACGTATGTGTAAGAGCCGTCGACATATTCGATATATTTGGTTTACACTAATACTAATGCAGAACAAGTAAATTGAAGTCATAACAATTGAAAGAATTCATCTCATTTCTAGTTGCTCGTGTTCATGTTCTATTTTTTTATGCTCCGGAATTACAGTTGATCAGAAGAGACTATTATTAATTAATATGCCACTTGTGCATTCTAGTCTCATGTGTATATTATCTCTTCAATATGAAAATATCAATTATAAAACAAACCCTTCACGGTGACTCGCCTATAGCACTATCACCCTCAAGGCTGCCATTCGCGCTTCTAATCTTAATACCAATTACACTACGATTATGTGTATCCTCCTCTGAAACACAATCTCGTAACATTCGTACAATATCTCGTGCTGCAGTCTCGCGCTCAGAATCGCGATCATATGCACGTCCAAGGTTCATCTCGGCATCATCTAAAGGAGTACGGCCCCAGCGGTCTTTGGTTTCGGTATTTATGTTTGGTATTGTAAGTAAATATTGTACAGTTGATAGGCGAATTTCGGTGACAGCGTGATGGAGAGCGGTACGATGATCAAAGCCCGTACGATTTACGTCCAGACCAGCTTCTATGAAGTGGCGGAGTAACTCGACATCATCGGTCGTTGCAGCTCTGTAGTATAGTAAATTGTGATGTGGCAAGAAGGGTTTGATATGAGTTTGAATTTCAATGATGAACTATTGCTTTGTCGCACACATGTAATAATAAAACCGTTAATGCAATCATCGACACGAGAACCAAAACATGCTACACTTACACCAACGCTTGGAACACTATATCTTGTGTTTCTGAATCATTAAAATGCGCTCCAGCTTGCCTAAGAAGTCGAACAACTCTCATATGTTTACGCTGCGCAGCCTCGAATAATGGTGTATGATTAAATCTATCGCGTACATGCACAGACGCACCATTTTGTAAGAGGAACTGCACTATCTCGTGATGTCCAGCCGAACATGCAATATGCTACAAATTAAAGAAATTAACACATAATCAATATAAACAATAACACATATTCAATCAACTTACAAGTGGAGTGCGACCATCATAATCGGTGCAATTTAGTAACAATGAACGTCCGGCGTTCTCTACCAACAAATGTAATCCATCAAGGTCATTCAGTCCAGCCGCAGAACACAGAAGGACGGGATAAAGTGCTGATTCCATTAACACTCGACCGGGTAAGTCCAATCCCGAGTTTGACGAAGCGGCTTCTGGGTCATATTGAATGAATTGTTTTGAGCATATAGATAGACATAGATATAGACGTATAAGAAGACTAATTTGGTCATTGTGAGAATATCTTACTTATTATGTCTTGTATAAGTGTATGCGTATAACTATGGACGGTAAATCGTTGCGTCTCAGCAAGGACTGTTAGTTCACCACGGAGATTTCGTTTAATCTCCTTGCGGACTTTCTCAGGACTCAGTCCTTTTCCCAAAAGATACGATAGCTTTGCCAGAGCACACTGGTTAGAGGGGAAAAAATACAGTTTTTTTAGCGTTGAATCAATAACCCAATTTCGCGTTCGTCCTTGCCAAAAAAAAAAAAAAAAAGTTACTGTACCTCTGGTGTCATATCACTGCCCGGTACAACGCCCACTTTGGCCAACGCTTTTCCCGTAGCATACAGATCGCTCACCAAACCCTTTCTGCACTGTGTACAGTTTACAACAACCACACCACGATCACTCGCTTCAGCCAGACACCTCATCAAATCGTCACGCGTATCAGGTGCGTTTCCTGCTCCATATGTTTCGAGTACGACACCTCGAATTGGATCAGCTAGGAATGCGCGCAATGTCGATTCAGTGATGCCGGGAAATAAGCGTAATGCAGCGACATTGCAGTCGAGTTTTTTGTGTGCACGGAATCGGGCTATTACCGATGGACGCATTATATCTGACCAGTTTACTTCTGCAATTTTTTTGGCAAAAATATTAGGTTAACGAATACTCAATGTAGTTCTTTTCCGGGGTCCTCTTTTTGTTTTCTCTTCATCTGACTTTCCTATTCCAACATGTCCCAATTTCTCTTATTAATTACCTATATTTATCCCAACAGTAACAAGCGGCCGTAGATTAGGAGATTCGAACGCGTCAAAATCCACTGCATTCGATTTGGAGGCCCTGTTACCGCGGAAAAGTTTATTACTGAAGAATAGACACACTTCTGGTATCACAAAATGGCCAGCTATTGTTAATGCGCCCAGGAGATTTTCCACAGCATCATTGCGAACCTCTGAGATAGGAACCTAAGATGCAAGAAAAGATTATGAGTCATTTGAACAACTGAAGATAGTATGAGGACACTGAAGCTAGTTTTGTACCTGTGATCCAGTGAGTATCACTGTCTTGCTGTATTGATGGCAATAAAGTAGATTTTTAGATAAAGTGGATTTTTGTGATCTATATGCCGTCTCAAAACGGTTAATACGTGTTACATTTATTTACCCCAAATTCTCTAGGAGGAAGCTAAGTACACTGGCCGTGTACGCCATCGTGTCCGTGCCTGTTTATATGATAAATAGTCTCTTTAATATTGGATGCGGTTCATAATCTGCATAAATACGTGCCATATTGCTATTCTCAATTTACTAACCATGCAATATTATAAACGCCTCGTAGTTTTGATAGTTTGCCTCTATATCTGAGGCTATACGTACCCAGTCTGTAAAGGACAAACAGATTATGAATCAGACGAAACCGGTTAGTTAATATGCAAAGAGAATGTTTTCAGCTTACCGTCAATAGACATGTTACATGAATCTAATAATGGCTCGTACTCAACAATCGAATATCTTAAATAAATGAACACACAATCATTAATCTTGTCATTTCCAGACTATTGGTTGTATCGCCCTTGAACATTTCACCATCATGCTCCTAGTACCCTCGGATGCCCCTCGTTTTAATTTCTTACATGATTCTTTTTCCATATAACGAAGGTGGTGTGATTAAAGTATCGACAAACTTCACCGGACCAGCTTTCCCAGTATCCTTGTCTGTCAAAGATATTCTGTTCTTGAACCCTTCTCCGCGCTCCCTTTCTAGTTCACCTTCACCGAACGTACGCATTGCATCCATCCCAACTTTCATGTAAGCACGCGGATCATGAAAACGTGGCATTTGTGTTAAGGTCCGGGTTAGGTATTTTTGAACCTGTTTGCAATTTTAGCGAATGAGTGTTGGTTATCAATATACGTATTAAAATTTGGTTTGTTTGGATTATTACTGTCTTAAGTCGCGGGAGAATATTGCTTGACTTACAGGAATATATCCTCGCGACTTTGTGTGTTTCATTCCCACTGTACCGCCAGTGTATATTATCAATACACGAGATAAATCTATAATATAATTATATTCCAGAAGATGCTTCGTAATTCGTAACTCGTAATTTACCCTTATATCCATTTAATCCCCCGACCCTCTTCCTCTCTTCCTCTCTTCCCCCCTTCGCCTCTTCCCCCCTTCGCCTCTTCCTCTCTTCCCCTCTTCCATCCCGGTCACTCTCTCCTTCCCTTCTTCACCCCAAGTATACATATGTTCTATTAAATTTCCCATCTATTTTTATATTAATCACTTATTCTTCTTCAAAGCACTAACCAGCTACAGCCATATCAGTTTGGGAAGCTAATGCCATAGAAACACAGTCATTATGCAGTACGGGCTGAATAGCCGACCCTATGTCTTCTTCGCTCGAACAGTAACCACTTTGTGAAGGTGGGGGAGGAGACAATAGTCTCCTCTGAGATCTTCTGGCGCTATCATCCATATCTCTCTTTCTCCTTAGACTATTGTTTTCTGCCATGAAGCCTTCCTCGCTCAAAGAGGAGAGAGGAGTGTAATAATACCGAGAGCACGGTTGTTTATGTGCGGCCATCGTAAAATGGATCTTGAGTGACAGGCGTGAGAAAGCGGAAATTAGTGGAACACAGGGCAACTGGCAATGAGAGTATGACAGAGGTGAAACTGGCGAGTGAAAAAAAATGCCCGCGTTTGTCAAGATTTCTTTTTGGTTATGGAGTTTATTTATACAGTTTAGAGGACACGAAAAAAAAAAGCCGTAGACACGATCACAATAAATTTCGCCATACTTTATGCGTTGTGATGAAGTGTGATTGTCAGACGTGTAATGCAGGATTAGGCAAGCACAGCCAGCACGGGAAATATTTGGTTCTAATTTGGTAAACCGGAAGCAACTAGGCTGTCCCATTTGAACAAAGTTCTATTGAGCCCATATGCGTTCTTGCCGTTTTCAACCAAGATAAATAGTTGATTACGACGTAATTAGTATGGTTTCAGCGTCATGCGGTCGATCTATAATCAAGTGACTCTCTTGTGAGCTGAAGGAGAGAGGGGGAAAAAGATGACGGAAAAAAAAAAAATATTGCGAACAACTTGTTCACTGTCTCGCCCCTTAATCTGTACACGAAGAATTCCGGTCTATTTTCCAGTAACGGCAGCTGATTCGTCCACGGAAAAGTTGTAGAACGTTCAACGAATCAAAGTTCGATTCACCAGTAGGTGAGCAGTATTCTGTTTATGCAAAGTTCTCAAATTAGCATAATATACCGAAATAACGGATGGAGTCCAAATATTTGTGCTTATAATATTAATATACTTATGAAGGTTGGATTCATGTGTAACAACGTGAACTAACCACCACATCTTCATTTGCCCATTATCCAAAGTTAAATTTAAACTCTCCATTTGTTCAATTCCATCGATTTCCTTTTCTAGATTCATTGTTTGGTCATTTATTGTCACGGCTGATGCTGAAATCCGGCTGAAGCTGAAACCATGACTTTTAATTGGTTGATCGGATTTTATTCTCTAATCCCATTGGTTAGTTTCAGCTTCAACATCAGCTCTCACATTTATTACTATTACTCTATGTTAAAAAGCTATTCATGTTTCAG